TGTGGCGGTAATAAAGAACACCAAGGACCACTGCTATCAGCACCAGAACGACGAGAATTACAACCACAACTATTATTACGACTGAGACAGAATCTAAAACGAGCAGTTGTTAATGGGTGTAGTAACACTGAATCAATCAAAAATGACCTCAACTGGATCTCTATCCAATATAAACGAAGTTAATTTTAATTAGTTTAGCTATCCAGTAGTCAAGCTATCCAGTATAATCTAAAGTTAGTTTAGTTTAGGGTTCTTCCTGTAAAAACACTGGATCAATAAAAAAGACTCTTGCAGGACTTCTAGGGAGAACAGTTTAGAACTAATATAGAGCTTACATCCAATACAAATAAAGTTAGGGTCTTTTAGTTTAAGTTTCCTCCTGTGGAAACAATGGATCAATAAAGAATGACTTTTGCTGGACCTTTAGGAAGCACAATCTAGAACTGATAGAGCTATCCAGTGTCAAATAAACCTACCATCATCATCAGTTTTAGCCTGTACATGCTCTGAAGGAATTCCAGTTCCTTTGTTGTTTACAGACTCCATTCGTATCAAATACTTCGTTCCAGAAACCAATCCTTTAAGAACAAAGCTGGTTTTATCACCTGGAGCCTGTTGAAATAATGAAATAGATCTTTAAGGTACAACGCCCAAGACAGAGGCGTAGCCACGGAAAGAATGGGGTCCGTATTAGAGAGGTGTTTGTATTAGAGAAGCGTCTAAAATGTTAGAGAGGTGTTTTCACTAGAGAGATATATTTTATTAGAGAAATGTCTGTATTGAAGAGGCGACAATATTAGAGAGTTGTCCATATTTGAGGGGTGTCGGCAATAGATAGATCTTCGTATTAGAGAGATGTTCATATTAGAGAGGAGTTTGTATTAGAGAAGTGTCTGTATTAGAAAAATATCCGTACTAGAAAAGTGTTTGTATTGAAGAGGAGTCCATATTAGAGAGTTGTCTATATTAGAGAGGTGTCTGTAGTAGAGAGGTGTCCATATTTGAGAGAAATTTGTATTGAAAAAGCTTCTGTATTAGAAAGATGTCCGTATTAAAGAAGTATCTGTTTTGGAGAGGCGTCTGTATTAGAGAGGAGTCTGTATTAGGAAAGTGTCTGCATTAGAAAGATGTCCGTATTAGAGAATGGTTTCATATTGTTCTATAAAACTGTTTTTTTCGTATCCCTGAGGATGGTTCTGAAATGAGAGAATTGTCTGTATTAAAAAGGCGTCCATATTAAAAAGGCGTCGATATTAGAGAGGTGTCTGAATTAGAGAGGTGTCTATATTAGAGAGGTGTCTATATTAAACAAGTGTCTATACTGGAGAGGTGTCTATATTAGAGAGGTATCTGTGTTAGAAAAATGTCCGTATTAGAAAAATGTCTGTATTAGAGAGGCGTTTGCATTAGAGAGCTCCTAGTATTATCAGAGAAGCACTCTCGTATTAGAGAAATATCCATATTAAAATCTGTCGGTGTCAGGGTGGTGCCCACACTAGTTGTTTAATAGGGTGAGAAAACTTCTTGAATGCCTTGAGTTTATAAGCAGACCTGAGCACGATTGTCCCAATTGGATCCACCACCATCGTTGGTCTGTATTTGATAATAATCAACAGTGAAGTAATCTGGTTTCGTCCAACTGAAAGTTATTTCTTTTTTTGCAACGTTTTTCACTGAGAGATCTGTGGCGGGACCGGGCTTAGCTGTGGAATATTAAACACAAATGAATTAAGTAATAGATAAAGCATGAGCGGCCATGTTGTATCACTGTACTGTATAAAAGCTAACGTTTATGTAATCGAGCATGATCAGTTTTTATCACATACAAAACCACCGTCCTTTGTCTTTTCCTTTATATTTTCGAAACGCGGAAACTAATTGTTCTTTGAGCAATTTTGGCAAATAAATCACCACAGCTAGGAATAACATATTAAAATGAGTGAATTTGCAAAGTTTGGTTGCGAAATGTTGTAAAATGCAGAAAATATCGTCATGCAAAGTTTGCAAATTTTGTATACTTTTGTATTGCGTGCGGAAATTGCTATTAATACCATTTTCGGCCCAAATATGGTAACAATTTCCGCACGCAATACAACAGTATACAAAATTGGCAAACGTTCCAAGGCCATATTTTACGCATTTTACAACATTTCATAACTAAACTTTGCAATTTTACTCATTTTAGTATGCTCTTTCTAGCTGTGGTGATTTATTTGCATCGTTTTAAAATTAGTCTATAATAAGAATTGTCTATTGCCAGTATTGGTTTATTATGAAGAGGTATAACATATCATACCGTCAATAAAAAAGTAAGCTACATCAACTTCATTTTCCTTCAGCTTGTTGCGAACATCCCTCGCTAGCTGTGCAGTATTGACATGGTCTTTAGTGTTAATTGTAACAATGTAATTCTTCTGCTTAAGACGTTGCTCTAGCCAAGTAAGGACAAACCGCACCATTCCAGACCTGACAATTTGCAAGTAACTTTTATTAGGTCAAAAAAGCATTATGTTTCTGCACAGGGTTCGAAAAACTTTACCTATAGAGTCTATATAGGATCTGTCTTGTGAAATAGCCTATACCTGTTGTACTACATCGAATCTGTAGTGTAGCAGCTTTCAAAAACATTTTAAAGCAATCATCATAGTTAGTATTAACTATAGTTTATTTTTGAAACATAATATATTCTACACGGTTCAATCGGGAAGAGCACATTTGTAAATGAATTCCGTGTTTAAATAAATAAAGCTTTATAATAATAAAAGGGGAATCGATCCTAATGTCTGTGGAAAAACCTACGAGCTAATTCGTCCCTTGCAATTTCAAGCCAGAGCGTATTAAAGACATTAAAAAAGATTTAGCTGGGTACTTAGAGAACAGGGGTGTTTTTCGGTGAGTAACCGGTTGCATGCGATTTTTTTAAAAAAGTTTACCGAAAGACGATACAGTACTTACGTAACATTCACAAAGGTAACGTTCATTGAACGCAGTGATAAACTATCAGTGCCATCTTTAAACACACTCTCGAACTTAAAAAAGAAAAGACAGTATATTTATTAGAAAAATATAGGTGTTCAGAGCTAGCAAGCGAGAGCCTGCAGACTCAACTCTCATAATTATGATAGTCAAACAAGAACAAGTGCTCATAAGAATTGGGAAGCAGATTTTCTCAATTCTCATGCCCCGGTCAAACAAGAACAAGAGTTGCATGAGGATTCACCACGACAAGCGCAAAACTCTCATCAAAATGTGAACCAGCTTAAAGTTGGCAGTCAACCGCAACTCTCTCATCAACTCTCATCATCGTTTAGCTGGGCCATTGACGTTTCAAGCGATGGCTCTTCGAACTTTTCGACGTGAAGCCTATGCTCGAAATGTCGAAGAGTTTGTTTTCATGACACAGGTAGTTCAGACACCAAATTTAACACGCTTCATGTGTATCATACCTTTGCCACGACGCCAGCTCGGTTGCCAAATTGACTTGCATTCACCAAAATAATTTCGAAAGGGAAGGTCATCACTGAACCAAAGAGAATGAAAAAACTTTAAATATCCGTTGAATTCTAGTAATTGTGTCACTGTTTATGAGTGACAACCTTGTAGCAATGTTACAACTTGTAAACAAGCTTGCAACAAGCCTGTTGCGAACACATCTTGTTGACAAGTTGTGAGTGACAACCTTGTAGCAACTTGATAAAACAGCATTCTTACTTAAGGAATACCGAATGGTTTTCCGTGCAGGATTGCGTGATCCATCCACGAGGGATGTCGCGAGACTTTCGGAAAGCGTAAAAATACTCGAGCCGCAGACGCTTGGAAAATCATTTGGTAATTGTTTTATAAAATAACTACAGTGAAACAATGACATTTTGAGAATCCCGCGAAAATCCCGATCCTGTACGGCTAATGACCAATCAAATTGCGTGTTTCACTGTAGTTACTACATAAACTTGTTGGCAAGCTTGCTATAAGCCTGTTGCGAACACATCTTGTTGACAAGTTGCAATTGACCATTTGCGTAATAGACTAAATTTTGATCTAAACAAGTCTAGGCAAAAATTTCATCACAGCTTGAAAGAGCATCACAAAATTAGTAATATTCCAAAGTTTCATTGCGAAATGTTGTAAAATGCGGAAAATATAGCTTGCGAAGTTTGCAATTTTCAGTCATTTTAGATTACAAACGGGAATTTGACAGCCTCGAAGGGTTTGGGGCTGTCAATTTCCCGTTTGTAATCTAAAATGACTGAAAATTGCAAACTTCGCAAGGCTATATTTTCCGCATTTTACAACATTTCGCAACGAAACTTTGGAATGTTACTAATTTTGTGATGCTCTTTCAAGCTGTGATAAAATTTTTGTTGAGATCAAAACTTAGTCTATTACGCAAGTGGTCAATTGTGAGATTTTTACGTGTGTGGGTCTAAATTAGTCTACAGAGTACAGATCACTTACACGCTCCAATAGAAAACGCATGTGATTGCGTATCTACGCCAAGAAACGACGAAGCGACGCAAGTAAAATTCTCATGAGGTACTTGTTCCGCGCAATATGGATTATCAATAAGCAGTGAACCATTTTCATACACTTGATATGAGGAGAAAATTGTTTCAAAATTTTGAATTA